CGCAGGCCGTTGCCTTGCGGGTCTAGGGAAACTGAGGCGCGGTTCAGAGCAGCGTGGGGCTGCTCGCCCTGACCTCTGCTCGCCGCGGGCAGAGGCGTCTCTCCGACTGTCTCCAAGGGCCGAGCCCCGTTACTGGGCTGAGTCCCCGGACCCCAGGGGCCTGCACAAAGCAGACTCACGGAGGCCCTGCCCTGGGCCCCCACCGCTTACACGGTGCCCACCGCTCCCACCCAGCCTCCTGGCACAAGTGAAACTCCGGCGACCAGTGAAAGGGTCCCCTTCCTGGGGACAGAAGTCCCTTTTTAAGGGGCCGGAAGAAGTCGCAGACTGCTGTGCAGCAGCCCATCCTGCTGCCGGTTACCCCTTTTCTTCCCCGGGCTTTGGACCCAAGCTGCAGAAGCCTGAAGGCTGGGGTGCACGTGCCTGGGTCGGGAGTGAGGACCTTCAAGTAGGGCTCCCATGGGATGCTGTTCTCCTGGCTGCCGTGGGACCGCAGCACACCTGGCACTGTCCAGGGGCCCACTTTGGCCCTGGACCATGTCACTAGGCTGGGAGCTGCACTTCCAGGGGGCTTTGGGGCCCCTTGGCAGAGGGTGCGGCTCATTCCTGTGGCCTGCTCATTTCTTGGGAAACAGAAAGGCTGGCACAAGGACCCATCCCCTGTGACGTCCTGGCGCCCTGGGCCTGGCAAGGAATTGATTGAGTCTCCATCTGCTCTGGTTGGACATGCCTCTGAGTCCCAGCCCCTGTTCCCCTTCTGGGGACAGTTTGGGGAAGGACATGCTTGCATCGGGGGACACCACTGTCACAGGCGTCCTCAGTGAGCCAGCCAGGCCTTGCTGTCGGTGATCACTGTCCTACGCACCCTGCCACCCATGGAAAACTCTACGCTATGACCTTTTATTCCCACAGCATAAGGTACCCAAAGCCAATAACTAGAACCCCAAGTGAGATTCTCAGGCACATGCTAGTTAATGTTCACCCAAACTGGTGAAGGAGATGTTACTTTTATCTCCATTTTAGGGCTGAGGAAACTGTGGCGTAGAGAGACTGAAATAGTGGCCTGGGGCCACCCTCCCACCTCTGGGACTTCTATTCAGAGGTGGGATCCTGGCCTCCTGCATTCTGCTGGGATGGAGATCTTATAGGGACGGAGAGGGTCTCCTGAGCTGGGATGCACCTCCTAGCTGCTCCTCTGGGTGGAGCCTGGCTCCCCTGGTGTTTCAGGCCCCACGCAGCTGTCCTGGCCCCACTGGGCCTTAGCCCATCCAGAGGATGAGGGGCCAGGGCAGAGCAGGGCCCAGAGGGTCCAGAACCTGGCTCGGCAGGGCAGCTCCACACTGTGAGGCTCTGCGACCCCCTACGGAGAGGGAACGGGATGGGCTGTGCAGGGACTGGGATGAAGGGTGGCTGGTGGGGCAGAAGGGCAGCATGTAGGGGAGACAGAGGCCCGTAGGGGAGACAGAGGCCCCCATGGTTACCAGGGCTACAGGAACGGCTTCCGAGGGCCGTGGTTCAGCAGAAGGGGGCCAAGCCGGCCTGCCAGGGGTCCGGTCCTACAGGAAAGTGGGCAGAATGCCCTCCTTCAGGGACTGACTTGGGGCAAACGGCGATGCTGGGAACATGCTTAGCACAGCCCTGGCCAGGGGTTGCCTCCCTCCCCAGGCCACCATGCTCCTGGGACCCAGGTGAGGAATCTTCCTATGAGGCTCCACCAGTGTCTGGACCAGGGAGGAGCTTCAAGAGGGTTCTCGGCCCCTCTGCATCCCCGGCTGCCGGAGCAGTGCCCCTTCCTCTAGGAGTGGGTCCAGTCCAGCCTGTGAGGGGCAGGTCGGCAGGCTCTCTCTACACTGGATAACTCTCACTAACCTCCACGTCCCTCACAAGTGAGCAGACCTGTAGACCTGAAGCATCAGGCTGCTGCTCAGGCCGGCAGGGAGCCTGATGGCTGTGCCCTCTCCTGGCCCCGGCCAGCCCTGGCACAGGCTCTGAGGCTCCTTGCCCAGCCCATGTGACCAGCAGGCCCTCGAGGCCCTGGAGCTTGGGTCTGGAGGCTCTCCCTGGCTGCACAGGTAGGCCTAGGAGCCTGCTGCCATGGTGGGAGGAGGGGAAGCCATGGGCCCCACTTGGCTATGGTGGGACCACGAACCGTGGCAGGTGGCAGAGGCAAGCAAGGTGGGCAGGCCCCAGGGGAAGGGACCAGAGACACCTAATGCTGAGTTCCTGGAGCAGGAGGGAGTGAGGGAGGCAGGCAGAGGTCAGCAGAGGCTCCAGGAAGGAGTGAGAGGTAGGGGGCACGGGGCATGGTCTGGGGCCTGGACCCTTTGCCCACATGTGGGGTGTCCTGGGGAGGCCTAGGGGCCCTGGCTGGGTCTGCGGGATTCCTGCCTGGACTGGGAGGGTGACCTGGAACTGGATGCTTGGCTGCACTGCCTCCTTGTCCACTCCCTGGCCTGCAGGGCGAACGCTGTGGTACTCAGACTCTGTGCTCCTGTCTGGGGGGCCAGGCAGGCAGGGCTTGGGTAGCAGATGGGGCCACTGCCCCAGAGAGGCCAGTCCTGCCAGACCATGGCCCTGAAAGGAAGCAGAGGGGACAGCCCGGTCTCCCCACTGGCCCAGGAAGCACCCGTGTCTCAGAGGCCCCTGTGGGCGGATCCCTCATGTGCCAGGGCCACTCTGTTCCCGGGTGTCCCCATGGACATGGTGGGTTGTAAGCATGAACCCGACAGGGTTGGGCTGGTGTTCTAGCTGGTGATGGTGGGACAGGATGCCTGTGTGCTGAAGTCCTGGCCTCTGTGCTCACCTCTCCTTGATCTTCTGTGCCAGCCCAGGTGGCTTCCGGGACACCACTAGCCTCGGGGAGTAGGGAGCCAAGAAGGCAGATGGCTCAGTGCCCAGGCAGCCCTGGGAGCACAGGGTGGGTCAGCCCCTGGACTGGCTACTGCGGCTCCTTGGGCCTCACTCTCCCCCTTCTGAGGGGGGGGACCCAGACCGTCCTGCTGGCTGGGCACCTCTGTGTGTTCTGTCTTTGTCACTGGGTGTGAGGTCTCCCAGTCTTTGGTCAGCAGCTGCTCACCTGCCCCAGCCCTCCCTGGCCTGGACCATTCTGGGGCCCAGCCCCTCCCCTCAACTGTCTGCAGGTTCCCAGACCCCTGGGCAGAGCCATCATTCCTGTGCTCTGGTGGCAGGGTGGTGAAGTGAACTCTGTCTTTCTGTCTCTCTAAACAGGTCTTCACACAATGAACTAGAAAAGCACAGGTAAGTGAGCTCCTGTTCCCCCACCTCCAGCTTCTAGCCGACTCCCTGCGTCTGTGCCCTTGCGCGGCTCACCGCACTGCCGGGCTGTGCCCTCGTCTTGGGAATGATCAGTCTTGACGGAAGCGGCCAGGCTCTGCTCTCAGGCATTCCCATGCCAGAAGGAAGAAGTGGGGGGTCCAAGCCCTGCTCTTGGGAACTCGGCCTAGAGCCCAGAGCCAGGTGGGGATCAGGAACTTGGGGCAGGGCCCCTTGTGCTGTGCTTCGGTCATGGCTGGCTCCCTGGAGGAGAAGCTCCAGCTGTTTTGGGGTGTCTGAGCCCTTTTAGGAGCAGCTCCTTAGCTCTTAGGATCAGCGTCCCACCAGGAAGTTTTTAGCCCTCTTGGTTTGGGGCCCCCTGCACCCTGGGGCCTGCCTTCCCAGGAGTTCCCACTAGAGTCTTGCCTGCAGGCAGTGGGATGGACAGCCAGTCCCAGGCCACCTGAGGCTGGTGGGAAGCTCTGGCGCGGGGCAGGATCCAAGAGAGTCCACTTGGTGCCCACCCATGGGCCACGGGGCCAAGTCCACTGCGGTCCTCCTGTCAGGAGTTGCGGGCTTGCAGTGAGAGGCAGGAGGGGCAGCACTGTCGCCCCAGGAGGCTCCCCTCCAGCCCCGGTCGGCCCCGGGACCCTGCGCCTTCTGCTGCCGGCCTCCTTCCCCTGGCTGGCCCTGGCTTGGCTGCTCTGGCTGCAGGCCTCCCTCTGCAGCGGGGGTGAGGCATGGGCAGGTCGGCCCCTGTGGACAGGCGTCCTCATGGCTGATCCCAGCGGGCCACCAGGAGCTGTGGGCGGGTACAGAAGCCCCAGAGGCAGGAGCCCTGATGCCAGGGGGGGATGACTCCCCGCAGAATGCCAGGCAGTGGCCTTGTCCTGACTGTTGCTCCCCTCTGTGGAATGGGCCAGCTCTTCACTCGTTTCTTAGGCTGGAGTGGGGTGGAGTTGGGGTCTGCATGCAAGATGAGCTCTCCTGGCCTGCCCTGGAGCTTGGCCCACTCTCTGTGTCCCCACCCCCTGCATCTACGCCCACGGCAGCGCCAATTTCCGCTCCCCTGGGATTGGGGCCTCTGCTGGGCGGGCGCTGAGCAGGGACAGGACGCCGTGTTCCCTGGAGGAGTTGCACTTCCTGGACTGCTCCTGTGCATTTGTGGGGTTCCTGAGAGACCATGGAGGTGGGGCAAGAGCATGGGCCCAGAGAGCCAGGCAGGCCCTGGGGTTGCTCCCAGGTCGGGGGAGACAGCCAGCCTTGAGTAGGACCGGGGGCCTGGGGGTGCTCTGGGGGAGGCTTCCCCAGGTGGTACCTGGGAGAACAGCCCCTCAGTGCAGCGGGGGATGACGGGGGAGGGTGGGTGGCAAGAGCATGGCAGCCTGTGGAGGAAGACAAAGGCTGGTCTTTGACCCCTGCAGCTGCCCCTTGACCCTGGCCTTGGCCTCCGCCTCCTTCTCCCAGAGCCTGTCCTGAGGCTGGGCCTTACGGGGCCCTTTAGAGATGCAGAGGTGGGGCAGGTGGGTAGCCTGGGGTATGTGTGCACTCTCCCCCAGCCCCATATGGGGGCTTCTGTTCCTGGGTGTGGACAGCCTTGAGAAGCACACAGTCCTGGAGCTTGGGACCCTGTTGGGGACCTCAGTCATGGCTGTACCTGTGGCTGCCTGATGCTGATGCCGGATGCTCCTGGCTGCTGGCCACAGGAAGGGCCGTGTGCTGTCCCAAGGAAGGAAGGAAGCTGGGTCACCTGGCTGGCCCCCCAGGAGGCAGGCCCTGGACACTGCCTTCCCTGGAGGCGTGCCTCATAGGGCCTGCGGGTCTTCCCTTCATCAGCGCTCTGAGCCGGCGGCCACCCCTAGGCCCACCCTGACCTCCCGTTCCCCTCCCTGTCCTCCCATGCAGACAGCAGCTCCAGCGGGTCTGCTTGGGCTGGCGCTCAGCTGCTGACCCAGGGGGAATTGGGGTCCTGAGGCCACGCGTTCCTTGGCAGGATGACCCCTCCTCAGCCCAGCTCCAAGCTTTAGCTTCTGAGTGTGGGGCTGGAGGGGCCCTCAGCTGAGCCCCTGCCCACCTCTTCCCAGCACAGGAATGGTCACCGAGGTCCTGAGTGGACCCTTCCGAGGAAGGCCTGCCTTGCAGGTACTCCTGTCTGCCTGATGCAGCCATGCGAGGCCTTGTGAGCCTCCCAACAACTAGGAAATACAGGGGAGCTGCCTTGCTCCCCATCCCACCTGCTGAGGAACCACTGATTGAAGCGCGGCCTAGGGAGGTTCAGAGTGTGGCTCTGCCAGACCCTGCCTCTCAGGTGCTGTGGGATCTGGCCCGGGAGCACTGGGTCCTGTTCTCAGGAGCTGAGGGCTTTTGGTGAAAAGCTGGCTAGGGCCAGTGTCAAGGGCTGGGCTGTGGGCAGCCGCTGGAGGCAGGAGCTGCTATTAACACGATTGCAGTGATTCCCATAGGCAGGTTCTGCCTTCTGAATCCACACAGGTTCCTTCAGGAAGCGTGGGTTTTCAAAGCTCCCAGGAATGCTGGGCGCAGCCATGGGGTGCTGGCGGAGGGCCTGGGGCACTGTAGCAGCTTCAGAGGAGGGCTTAGCAAGAGCCCAGTGTAGCTGCAGGTCCTTGGCACCCCTGTCCAGCTCTCGGGAGGTGCTGGGGATGCCCACTCCCCACAGGGATGGGGCCCTGGGGCTCAGAAGGGCAGGGCTTCTCAGCTAGCCCTTGGCAGAGCAGGTTCCCAGCCCTGCAGTCCTGGCTGGGTGCTCTCCTGGGGGTTGGCTGGGCATGGCATCCAGTATTGAACGTGGCACGGATGTAGTCCAGCGTCCTCTCTGCCTCTTGAGAAGCCTCTGCTTTTTTATTTCTGAAGCAGTCTGTTCACGTACGATGCTGATGCTCTGGACCTCCCTGTGCCCACCCCAGAGACGGTGTCTTAGGCAGCTGGGAGGCCAAGGCTGCGTCCTCCTCCTCCACATGGGTACCGACGGGTAGGGCAGGACCTTGCTACCTGCTGTTTACTAACTTGACCTTTCCCCTGACCCCACGTGAGTGCTGTCCACCTGTGTCTGCGTTCTCCTCGCCCCTCGTCCTGGTGCCCACACAGGACACGCGGCTGTACTGCAGGGTTCTTAGTGATGGCCCCCCCGGGAAACAGACGGGGCTGCAGCCTGCTGGGTCTGTGCTGGGGGTTAGGTGTGTGGGACCAAAACCCTGGAAGCAGAATTGCCGGTCGAGGGTTTGAGTCACCCTGGTGGCCCTTCAGAACTGCTGTCCCGAGTGCTCTCCCACCAAGGAAGCTGGAGCTGCCCCGCTGGCCAGCCCGACGGCTAGGCACACCTTTCCATTTCAGCCCAAACTAGCGTCTCCTTGGTGAGCTTCCCAGTTTCCTAGATCACTGAGGTGCAGCCAGTTTTGTGTTGGATTAGCTGTTTGTTTGTGTCCTTTGCCCGTTTACACGTTAAAATGTTCCTCTTCTTGTTTTTGATGTATGAGCTCAAATGTCATAAGTACTAGCTGTTTGTCTGTTACGTGTTTGCAGATATTTTCCTGCTGTTATTTGTCTTTCAGCTGTGTTTTTTCTTTCTTGTACAAATGTGTTTTTTTACTGTAAAAGTAACGTGGGGTTGTTTAGCATAGAAAATACCAAAAAAAAAAAAAAAAGACAAAGCCAAAGAAATAAACGTTGCCAATCACGTCACCTGGAGACGCATGCTTCCTGCTCTTCATTGTGTCCTGCTGAGTCTCTCGTGTGTGTCTGCTGCTTGATTATTTGGAATTTCCTTGGGTCACTTGTCACATAGGTGGTTTCATATTTTTACATAGGTGGGCTGACTGTCTTCACTTACGTTCATGACATGAAAATGTAGAACACACTAAAACGATGGTGCGGCTGTCCCCGGGCGGTGGAATTTGGGGGTACTTTTCGTTCGTTTGTTTTCCCTCTTGATTTGCGTTTTCTAGTGTTCTGCAAAGATCGCATGCCGCATATGTACCCAAACGGTAGATTGTGAGAACTGCCACTTGCTACAGACCCAGTGGGCCAGCACCCCCACTTGTGAGCTTAGTGCAGGTGGCAGGGTGGAGGGCCGTCGGGAGGGGGTCTGTGATCAGCGAGCCGTCCTTGAGTACAGAGCGCCGTTTACTGGTGCAGCTTCTTGCACCTTGGAGGTGAGGGGCTGAGGGTCTCGGATTCTGGGGGGCTGTGCGGATTCTGGCATGCCCCTTCCCCAGCCCTGTGTGTGTGTGGAGTTGGGGCTCCTCTCTGAAGGTTCTGTGGCTTTAAGACAGAGCCTGGAGCTGGCTCTGAACGCAGGTCCCCGGGGCCCAGGTCTGTGTGGCCTGGTGGCAGAGCACAGCCTGTTTCATGTCCTGGAAGTTCTTTCTAAGGCCTAACTGGAGTTCACCTGGAGAACTAGGCCTCGGGTGCCATGGGCTGAGGTGCCAGGTGGGGAGGTACTTAGTTAGTGGGAGGGCGCCCCGTGGACGTGGGTGGCAGACTTCTGTCCGCGGTCGCAGCATGGTCAGCCCTCCTCTTCTGGGGTGGGGCTGTTATCACTGCTCTGCAGATGGGCTCCTGCCCCACACCAGCTGTCCCCTCCTTCCCTGTGTTTCGGGGACCCCCTCTGTCCAAAGGAATTGCCCATCCATGCCCTCTTCCCTCCCAGAAGCCAGGGGATTCTGGGTTTTCTGGGGCTTTGGAATGTGTGGATGTAAAGGTCGAACCACCAGGGTTGGCACCCGCTGGGGGAGGGAGCCTGTGCTGGCACTGGTGATGCAGGGCCATTGGACAGCGGGTTGTCAGAGCCTCAGAGAGAAGCCCCCTGCCCCATGTCCTTGGGGTTCCCCTCCCGGTTCCTCTCCTGAGAGCAGCCTGAGCAGAGCATCTCTGCTTGGAGACCACTTGGGCAGCCTGCAGGGGCCCCAGTGGGACACATGGGTATGGCTGAGCCCCGGACCATCAGTGAGCTTTGGGGGTGAGCCTTAGCTGCACCCTCTGATCCCCACCAGCCTGCCCCCCGGATGAAAGGAGCCAGGGAAGGAGGGCAGATGCATGTCACGGCTCCTTGCCTGAGGCCCCTACTGTGAGCAAACGCCATTGAGTCTCCCAGTTCCGGTTTCGTGGGGAAACTGCACTCATCTGCAAGGACACAAGGACAAAAATCTAGAACAAAGCAGTTTCCCAAGGGATCCCAAACTCGGGTGGAGGGGCTTGTCTGTGGCCCTCCCTGGCTTGGATGGAGTCATGCTTCTGTGGTGACGAGAATGACCTGCACTTGGCAAGGTGGGGGATGGAAATCTTGTCTGGGGCCCCCTGGATCTCCTGGAGAGCCTGACCAGCACCTGCGCCTCTCCTCCTGCCAAGTTGCCCCCCCCACTCCTGAACTTCACTGCAGAGGGTGGGGACAGTGGGGTGAGCTGGGGTTCTTAGGGCCTGGCTGTAGCACTCTGAGGCTCTGGGGGGCCTTGGCGGGCTGGCTGGTCACGCGGGCTGGGCTTCCAGAGGGCTGTGGGTGCCAGGCTGCTCCCGGGGGCTGGGAGAGCTGCTAGCCAGGCTGGGAGGGGAGCCCCAGAGAGGACCCTCGGCAGGTCCGTGCAGGAGTCTGGCTGGTCACCTCCCACCCTCCCCCAGGCCTCTCTGGCTGCTCCACTGCAACGTCATTGCCCCCACAGGCTGAGCCATCCTGCCTGACTGTTCTGCCTCTGTTTCTTTCAGACGAGCCAAACTCAGGCTCTACCTGGAGCAGCTCAAGCAGCTGGTGCCCCTGGGCCCTGACAGCACCCGCCATACCACGCTGAGCCTCCTGAAGCGCGCCAAGATGCACATCAAGGTGAGCAGGGTTGCGCCCCCGCCTCCACCCCGACACCTCGGCTGACCTCAGCCAGTTCCCGTGCACCCTGGGGGAGTGGCCAGAGGGCCTGCCTGTGGGGTGGGAGCCGGGGGTCTCCAGCGGTTGAGGGCACAGCAGCAGGAGTTGCTGAGGGTCGAGGTAGTGGCAGGCACAGGGCGGGTTTTGTGGGATGGGAGTGGGAGGTGGTGGTGGGTTGCAGACTGCCCCCGCTGGGCCCCAGGCTGAAGGGGCAGCAGGTGGAGGGAAGAGTTGGGTGGGAGGGGTGGGAGGGCGTTCCTTTGATGCGGTTTTTGGGAGGCCAGTGGGAAGCAGGTGGCCCTGAGGTGGGGAGTTCCTCGGGGCAGAGTAGGAGTTGATCTCCAGGGGTGGCAGTGAGGTGTGGGCCGAGGGAGACGTTGCCTAGGCTGGGCCCCTGAGGCCTTGAGACTGAGACCTGCTGGTCTGGGGGTCTTGTGACACTTGGGCCACGAGGGTGGGTCTCAGTCCTCCCACAGGGCCCCCTCACCCTGCAGAGGTTTGGGCTCCCCCAGGCAGGGTGGCAGGAGCTTTCACGGGGCACAGCGGGGGCCTGGGGGCCCTCACAGAGCAGGCATCGTCTCAGTGCCCGGGAAGGCGTGGAGCAGGTGAGGGGGAGGGGGCGGCTCTGCAGCGCAGGCTGGGCAGCCGGATTGTGCAGGAAGAGCCACTGTGGGGAGGACTGTCAGGAGGGGATGTCAGCCCAGGGCTGGGCGGCACTGTTCCAGGGCTTCAGGCCCACATGTGACTTGGCTTGGCCGAGCTGGCTAGTGGCTGTGGGCCTTGTGAAGCTGGTCAGCAGACACAGAGCACAGGGCTGGAAGGTGACATCTAGTATGACCACTTGGTAGAGGGGAGAAGGGGGTGCATTAGGCTGTGGGGGGGTCCCCCCACCCATGCTGGGTGGGAGATGGGGAACCTATTCTGGCCTCTGTGCCCTAGTGCGGGTCCTGGTGTGGGGAGGGTGCCCCACCCCCGTCATAGCTCCCCTGCCCCCAGAAACTGGAGGAGCAGGACCGCCGGGCACTGAGCATCAAGGAGCAGCTGCAGCGGGAGCACCGCTTCCTGAAGCGGCGCCTGGAGCAGCTGTCGGTGCAGAGCCTGGAGCGCGTGCGCACAGACAGCACAGGTTCTGCCGTCTCCACCGACGACTCGGAGCAAGGTGGGGACGTGGGCACAGCCCTTACAGTCCTTTGGGTGCAGGCTTTGTGCAGCCCTTGGTGGGAAACTGGGCAGGTGGGGCTGGCCAGGGCGGCAGCCTGGGGCAGGGGTGGGGCGAAAGCAGCGGGCAGCCGGTGCCCATGTTACGGCGCGTTCCCAGCACTTCGGAGTGCCCTGCGTGAGGTGGCAGAGTGGCGGGATGAGGACTGGGAGGCACAGAGGCCCGGGGGCCTGTGCCCAGGAGGGCCGGAGCCGGGCTCGGGCTGGGCAGTGTGCTTCCGAAGCCCTGGCTGGTGCCCTCGCCATGTCTGACCCCCTCCTCCGTTCTCCCCAGAAGTGGACGTAGAGGGCATGGAGTTTGGCCCCGGCGAGCTGGACAGCGTTGGCAGCGGCAGTGACGTGGATGACCACTGCAGCCTGCAGAGTGGCGGCGGCAGTGACGGCGGCTTCGGGCCCCCCTGCAGGCGGCCTGGCCACCCTGGCCTCTCGTAGGCCCTGCCCTCTGCTCCTTGGCCTGTTTGCCCGCCCGGCCAAGTGTGTCCGCCCTCCAGTCCTTGAAAGCCTTTCCACGGGCCCACTGCTGTGCCATTCTGGAAGCTCCAGCTGCCACCCGGGCTGCCCGCCTCCGCCCACCTGCTGGTCAGGGCCTGCCGCGCCGCCCGCTCCTCCCGCCTGGGCAGGGACCCTCCAGGAGGCGGGCCGGCTCCCACGGCCCAGAGCCCAGCATAGCCGCCCACGGTCTGTTCTCAGATTCCTAATCATTCCAGAAGTATTAAATATCATTGCTGCAAACCTCGGCGGGCGCCGTGTGAGGGGCTTAATAACCACCATGGGGAGCTCAGACCCCCTCCCCGGATCCCAGGAGAAAGGAATGGACTGAGGAAAGAAGGAAGGCGTGGCTCTCCGTCCGTCCGTCTATCCATCTGTCGGTCCACGTAGGCTCCTGAGGCGTGCACAGAGGGATCCGTGAAGGGCGGGACTCGGGTGAGCAGCCTGGGGCAGGTGGGTGGAAGGGACCTTTGCACCCGCAGGTGTCAGGAGCTGGGGCTGGGCTTCTAGGGGCTGCCAGGCCACCCCATTCCAAGCTGGGCGGCTTCTGCTCTGTTGTTAGATCCCGCAGATACACACACGCACGCGCCTAGGCACACGCGCCTGCCCGCACACACATGCACACACGTAGACACGTGGTCACTGGACCCAGAGGTCCCGGGGGCTCAGTGAGCACATGTCCTTGGGGCCTTCAGGGGTCAGATGGGCAAATGCTGGCCCCTGGCCTGTGCCTGGATCCCCCTCCAACCCCTGGCTCACCTGCCCAGTCTGTACAGGGAGGGGGACTTCTCCTCCCAGCAGGGGCTGAGGAGTGCTAGGGGCAGGAGTTGAAACCACTGGGTCCTCAGAGGGCTCTCTCATCTCCCTTAAAAACAAAAAACAAAACAAAACATTGTTGCACTGCCTAGCAGCCCAGAACAGGGCTCCCGGGAGAGAAGCTTTTCCCCAGAAAACAAGAGAGCGATGTTTTCAAAAGGAGGAAGAGCTCTAGAGACTCCGGCCAAGTGCTGTCGGTGGTGCCGCCTGCTTCCTGTACAAGATTTTTCTACTCTATTTTCCTAGCCGTCCTTGCGTCCTTGTTTGCTGAGGGGTGGGAGCGACCCAGCGTCTCAGGGACTTGTCCGTCTGTCACCGTCGTCCAAGTGTGCCTTGTGTCCTGTGTGTGGCCCCACCCCGACCACCACCACCAGCATCTCCATGTGGCTCACGGGATGCCCCACCTGCCCCACAGGTGCCCTCCTGGGCTCCTCGCCGTGGGCAGCCCCTCCTGGCAGCCAGGGCTTCCTGGGAGCGAGACGGCCAGGCCAGGTCAGGTGGGGGCTGTGTGACAGCAGGGCTGCTTTCTGTCACCTGGCGGGAGGGGCCTGCTCTTTGCCCCCCCGCCCCCCACTGTGCTGCCTGGCCTCTGGTCAGTGGCCTGCTACCCAGAGAAATAAGTTCTTCCCTGTACCCAGCTCGAACCCTCCCTTCTCCCTCTGGGGGCAAGGGCTCCAGATTCCAAACGTTGGCAGCTGCTGAAGACAACCGCTCACCCCGGGTGGTCAGGCCTGGGCATTAGGAGGCTTCTCCTGGCCTTTTGTTCTCAAAATCCTTGTCCCCGGGGGCCACAGAGCAATATTCGGGTGGCAGGGCTGTGGGGCTGACCCACAGCAGTGTCTGCTCCCCTCTCTGGTGCATTGTAACCAATTTCCAGATCGTGGGGGGAAATTTTGTGTTTCTCTTTGGTCATGCAGATGGATACCCCAGGGTGGGTGGCCTGATGAGGCAGAAAGAGGTCCCTGGGGACAGCTCTGGCATAGGACCTGCCCTACCGGGGCCTGGGATGGCTGTGGAGAGCGGGCTTGTGGGGGGACAGTGCATGGAGTTGGGAGACCACCACATGTTGTGCTGGTGGTTGCAAGGAAAACTGTTCTGTCAGCATCTCCTTCCAGCTCCGATGGGGTCTGTAGTGCCCAGAAGGGGCCTTGCCCATCTGCCTGAGCATGCCCACCAAGTGTTTCTGGCAAGGACCCCAAAACCCTCTGGGCAGGGCAGGAACACCTGTGTGTAAGAGCCTGCTGTAGGAGACCCAACTGTAGACCTCTGGGATGGTCTGTGTCCTGGATTCTTAAAGCATCAGCTCTCTAACCACCCCACCCCTAACACCTGGGGGAGGTTCTGCTCCCACCTCTGGCCAGCAGAGTCCTGCCCAGGTGACCAGCTGTGTCCTTCAGTTGGCCTTCTGGCAGCTTAGCCCATGGCTTCTCACGCCCCAGTTCCCATGTGGACCAGGAGTTGGCCTCACTGGCCCTCCTCGGGGTGCTGGGGTCCCGCTAACACTCCCCACCACCAGCAGACACCAGCAAGGGTCTGGTGCTAGAGCTACTCACACACCTGGCCCCTGCCGGTGGCCACGGGGACCCAGAGGATTGTTGTGGGGTCTGTGGAAAGCAAACATGACCAGAATAGTGCCACTTGGGGTGCCTGCACCCTCTCTCTCTGTGCCCTCCCATGTGGGCCAGTGTGGCACTTGGCAGCTGAGATCCTGGAACCCCAGGCTCAGGTTGGGGCCCGCATCCTCACTGTGAGGTGGCCCCCACCCTCAGTGCAGGCCCAGCTGGCTGGGGAGTTTGCCAGTGCAGATTAGGTCTCAGAAGCCCTGTGCCCAGGCCTGCTCTCCTGGGCAGACAGAGCCATGCACCTAACGATTTCTCTGAGGGCCCCACCCTCCTGTCTGCCCCAGACAGTCCCCATCTGCTGGTTGAGGCAGCTCCCCCCCCCCCGCCAGTCTCTCTCTGGGAGCTGACCTGGAGTCCCCTCCCCACCACTGGGCACACAGGACTCCGACCCCCTGGCCATGTTTAGGGCACTAGGGCAGGTTCTGTGCCAGAGTCTGGGGCGGCTGGGGGCCTGGTGCTGGCCAGGTGGGCACTACAAGATCCTCGCTGGAGAGAGATGGGCCACCCACCCGCCTGCTCGCCAGGAGGGACTGTGCTGTACCATTCTGTCTTTGTAACATAAATACAGATTTTTATACCTCACCTCTCTGGCTTCTAGTTCTTTCCATCACTGCGTTTTGCTCCCCTCCCCTCAGCCTCCATAGGGAGGTCCTCACCACCCTGACCACAGCCTCTGCTTTCTGGGCTAGCCAGCTGCCGCGACCCCACCGTCACAGCTGCCTCCCTGGACGGTCACACCTGGAGATGAAGGTTGGGGTTAAGCTGGCAGCCACCCCCACCCTCACCTGTTTTCCAAGCCTATTGCTGCCAGCCTCAGGCTTCACCCTGGCTCTGGGGCTCATGGGGCTCTGTGCCAGCCAGGCGTCTCTGTCAGGTGCCCTCAGCCCACCTCCGTGTGCCCATGCCCTTTGTGCACAGCAGCTGCTGGCTCTCAGGGCTTCACAGCAAGAAGCCCTCCTTGGACCTGTCCTCAGGGACCCTGGAACGTCCTGCTGTGCAGGGTAGGGGGTGAGATGGCATGGCCCCAGAAGAGGGCATCAGGGGAGGAAGTGCCCACCTTGAGTACCAGGAACTGGGGACCAGAATGGGGCTCTCCTGGGAGCCCGGGGCTGCCATGGTGGGCAGGCCACAGCACGTTGAGGTGGCGCAGTGAGACCTACTGGTGGGTTTTGGGGTGTCTGTGGGAGAGAACCTACAGGGACCCAGGGGGAATCAGTTCCCCCACCCTCTCCCAGCCGGAAGCAGTCTTCTGGCCTTGTACCTGTGTGAGCCCCCCAGGGACATCTCTAGAAAAGTAGGGAATTCCTACTGGGAGTGCAGCTCAGCCCTTGAGCTGAGGGACTGGGCATGAATGTACACGGGGGTATTTGAATTCCCAATATTCCTATGATTTTAAATCATCCCTTTTTATTGAGGGCGTAAGTGCTCCAGGAGCCGCGCTAAGCACTTACTGTAGGTAATTAGCAACTGATGTCCTCAGGCTGGGCCCATCTCATAGACGGGTAACAGGCCCAGGGAAGGCTCCTGCCTTTCCCAGGTCACCTACTGGAGGGTGATGGCCCTGGGACCACACCTAGCCCACTGGGAAGCCCCTCCGGCTGCCAAATGCCATCTCTGTACGTCCAGCCTGGATTACAGCAAGCACCCCTGAAGTGGGACGCCTGCCTGGGTCTCAGCCCTCCTGCCCACACTCTCCCTGCCACTCCTTGGGTGGTCTTGTTGCCCGTCACCTCCAGGGTCAAACCCAGGTGCCTGTGCTCTCCCCACTGCTTCTGGGCCTTCCACTCAGCCCCCTCCCACCCTTGCTCCCTTCTGTCCCTCTGTCCCTCTGCACTCACCACCCCGCACCCCACAGCTCTGGTTGGTGACTCTTCTGGAAGGTGGTTCCCGAGTCTCCTCCACCTGGTTTGATCACATCTTTGCTGGGATTATGGCAACCCACAGTGGGTGCTGGGGTAATCGGGCTACTCGGGCAGGGCCCTTTTCAGGCTGTGTCCTTTCCTCCACTCCCACTCCTTCGCCAGGCCAGGCCCTCTGCACTAGTCCCACAGGGATCTTTCCAGAATGTAAATGGGATTACACCTCTCCCCTACTTCGTTTGCAGGGGCTCTCAGCCCCTCCTCATTGCCTTCTGCCTCCTCAGCCAGTCCCGAGGTGCTTTATGAGACCCCAGGCCCCTCTGTGCCCCCTTCCGGACAGCCCTTTTTCCCTGTCGCCCCCACCCACCCCCGTCAGGTCATCCGGGTCAGCTCCTGACCCCAGCCGCTCCTGAATTTGAGGACTGAGTTTTCACCTTTGTCACGTGACTGTCAATGTGCCAGGAGACAAGCTCACTCTCCCCCCGCCCCCCACCCCCAGCCCCACGGTGTAAGGTGTACGCGGGGTGTTCTTCTGAACAGGAAGGTTAATAGAAGAGCAAGAAGAAGAGCCACTATCTTGCTCAGCTGGAAACAGAGAATCATGCAGACTTGCTCTCTGGCCATCAGGCCCTAGGCGGCTGCCCTCAAGGTCGCTCCCTGCCCCTCCAGGTCCCAGGTTGCCTGAGCTCGCCGACTTCTTCTATCCCCTGTGCACAAGGCTCCCTGCATCTGTCTCTTCGCCCCCCCCCCCCGGCTTGTCACTTCTGTTACTGCAGTCACTGCTCACACTGGGAGTGTCACTCCCAACTTGAAGATCGGAGTCCCGCCACCATCACTGAAAACTACCTCCAAAAGCAGATGCTCTTTAACATCAGACGGCAGTTCAGTGTCTGAAAAGAAAACCTAAAATACTTCTTAATATCAATAGGATAAAAGAAAGGATTTCCACAGGAAGGAAGGAAACAACAAAAGCACGTGATGCTCACAGCTGTGTTCGGCCTGTTTAGTCCTGCTGAGTCTCCTGGGCTTTCTCAGGGGGACTCATTCCTGGGTTCCCTTTATCTTTTAACTCCGCCAAGTTCCCCACTAAAACTCTAGATGATTTTGATTGGAGGAAAGAAAGCTTGTCCTGGAAGTGTTAGGTACTTGCTTTCCTAAATTGCAGGTGCAACCTCAAGTACAGAAATGCTCTAATAAGTCAAGTTTTCAAGGAATCATTTCTGAGTGTATAGTTAAACCTATAGTATTTGTCATTTGTACCCTGGGAGCTAATGCCATTTTGATGTTTATATTTTTATGGCTCTTTTTGGCCCCACGAACGTCTCTCAAGCAAATAACTATGGTAGGTCAGCAATTCAGAAATCACATGGAGAATTTGTGGGCCCAGGAAATGATGCAGGAGTCACTAGGAAGACTGGGCAGTGGGCTTCTAGCTCAGCCTCCTGTGCTGGGGCTCTCACCCTCCTGCCCCTCAGGGATCTTTCTGTAAAGCAGCCCTTTTCTCTCTGGCATCTTCTGTCTCCTCTGAGTTCCTCCTCACAGTCTATAAATATCCCCAAGTTCCTCCCATCTTAAACAAAACAAAACCCAAACCCTCCCCCCAGCTCTGCATTCCCACCCCCTCATCTCACGTCCTCCTGCTGCTTTCTCTCTCTCTCCCTCCTTCTTTGCCTCTTCAGCAGAATTTCTTGAAGACGCTGCCTGCTCAGCCTCCACTTCCTCCCTTTAAGCCGGCTGGGCTCCTGTCCCCGGCTGCATGCCCCCAACCCCAATACCCGTCCCCACGGTGGCCAAAGGAGTCTCCCCAGTCCGGGGGCTCCAACCTAGCCTCCCAGCATACCAAAGGAACCAGCCTCTCCGGGGTCCAGGCCTCTGGGTTCAGGCCAGGCACTGCTTTGAATTTTTTCTCCTGTAACGTTTGTTTTCCCCATCATTTTAGGCATACTGTCTTTTAGAAGAGGAGAATAAAAAATGAAACAAAATGAACAATGAATAGGAAGTAACTTCAAGTCAAGATTAATTCATGATGTCTGCCCCAGAACATTATTTTTTCTCTCCTTAAAAATATTAAGGGAATTATCCAGAACACGTCTGCCCTTCCAATGTCACACTAGACTAGGACATTATCTAACTAAGCCACCCGAGGGCCATTTGATGCTGGGGGTGGGGAGGTACTATGTAGTAATGACCAGGGCCCCAACCTTGCACCTTTACATTCAGATGTAAACGTAGATTGGTAAGTTAAAAATGATTTTTGTCTGGTAGAGATGCAAATGAATTCTGTCCAATACAATAGGTAACCCCAGCTCTGGGCATCGGCCAGATTTGACCTCATTTGCGCACCGCTTCTCTCACTGACTGCGCGCTTTCCGTTTCTGGCGTCTTCCGCGGACACCGTGCTTCATCTCGAGTTAAATTCGTCTTTGACACTTGCTCACTCCGTGTCTGTATGCGTTAGTTTCAACTTCTTACGTTGTTCTTTGAAAATGGGCTTGTCAGGTGAGCGCTTGGGAACTAAGCGCGCTTGCAAAACAACGTTCCCGGTACCAGACCGACGCGAGCGAAGCACTAAGCCGAGAGGCTCCCGCGGCGCGGCGCGCACCGCCCGGCTCCGCGAGCTCG